GGTTCAAATTACCCATGACCTGAGTCATTTTCAGATCAGAGCTTCTAAAGCATGAGTACAACCTGCTGATACCACCTTCTTCCCAGCTCCTCAAGCAAGGATGTCACTGAGAAGTGGACTACTATCCCATGAAAAGAGAGAGAAAGAAAAAGGGTAAAAAAGAACATTTGAAGATACAATGGCTGAAAACTCATATTTGATGTAAGCTTTGAATCTACAAATCTAAAATCATTGTTTCGAATAGGATAAACTCAGAGAGATCCACACCAAGATACATTACAATCAAATTGTCAACAGCCAAAAAGAGAGTTTTGTTTATACATCCATCAGAATGATTTAGTAATCTTTGCCCTTTTTTCTATTAGTGTGGTGAATTACATTGTTTGAGTTTTTAATGTAAGCCAACATTGTATTCCTGGAATAACTCTCACTTGGTTGTAGTGTATTCCCTTTTTTATGTAATGTTAGATTCAATTTACTAGTATTTGCTAAGTGTATTTTCTCCTATGCTTAGAAGATATGCTGGTCTATAATTTTCTTTTCTTGTAGTTTGTGGTGTCTAATTACTTATGGCATTAAGGTTATACTGTCTCATAAAATGAACTGTGAAGGATACTCTCTCTTTTTCTACTTCTAAGGTACATAGTAGTAATGAATTCATATGTTCACTATGTTCACTAAAAAATATGTACATAACTATTTATTAATGCACTACACATAATGGCTAAAACTTCACATAATGGCTAAAACTACACATAATGGCTAAAACTTCCATCCATCAATGGAATGGATAAATAAATTATGGCATATTCATAATATGATGGAATATGATTCAGTCTACTTAAGTGGAATACTGTACATATACATTGGAATAGTATTCATCAATGAGAATGCACAAACTACAACTACATGGCATACAACCAAAACACAATATGGAAAAAGAAAGCCAAACACAAAAGATGCAATGAACTTTTTGAAAATTCATTGAGCAGTATAATTATGATTTGTTTACTTTTTTTGACTGGAGGAAAATTGCTTTACAATGTTGCGTTGGTTTCTGCTGTACAACAATGCAAATCAGTCATTACTATATATGTATGTCACCTCCCTCTTGAGCCTCCCTCAACCCCCCCATCTCACCCCTTTAGGTCATAACAGAGGGCCAGGCTGGTCTCCCTGTGTTATATAGAAACTTCTCACCAGATATCTCTTTTATGCATGGTACTATATATATATGTCAATACTACTCTCTCCATTCACCCCACTCTTTCCTTCCCCCCACTGTGTCCACAGTCTGTTCTCTATATCTCCATCTCCATTTTTTCTCTGCAGATAGGTTCATCGATACCATTTTTCTAGATTCCACATGTATGCATTAATATACAGTATTTATTTTTCTCTTTGCGACTTACTTCACTCTGTATAACAGGCTCTAGGTTCATCCACCTCTCTAGAACTGATTCAAATTCATTCCCTTTATAGCTGAGTAATACTCCATTGTGTATACATACATACATACATACATATATACCACATACCATATATATATATATACATACACACACACACACATATATATATACATACACACACACACACACACATATATATACATACACACACACACACACACACACACACACACACATATATATACCACATCTTCTTTATCCATTTATCTGTTGATGGACATCTAGGATGTTTCCATGTCCTAGCTATTGTAAATAGTGCTGCTGTGAACATTAGGTTACATGTGTGTTTTTCAATTATGGTTTTATTTGTTTGCTGTATGTGTGATACTTCAGAATTCTCTTTAAAAATAAACAAAGCAGACTTGAAAAAAGGCAAACAAAATGCTCACATACAAAAATTATAATTACTGAAATTAAAACCAAATGATCAGTTTTGAATTTTCCCAAATTTCTTACCAAAATGGAAGAAATAGAATGATATAAGCAAAAACTCATGAAAACATTTTTAACAAAAACTAGGTGGCAGAGTATTTCCCCAAGAACCCTAGAATACAAACAGGCCAAAATCTCTGACAGTGGTAAGACACAGGTGCAGTCAGAAGTTATGCTGCACATAGCCAGAGAAACAGTTAATTTTGTTATTCCTAACAGCTAGGGAAAGCAGAAATTTATAAGTTTCAGAGAGAGAAATTTTCAATATTGAAAAAATAATCAAAACAAGCAGGAAACATATAAAAAGGTGTTCAGAATCATTAGGCATCTGGTAAATGCAAATTAAACGGGCATTGAGATATCACTACACACACATCAAAATGGCTAAAATTTTTTAATTGACCATACCAAGAGTTGGTACAGAGAAGAAAAAAAGGAGAGTCTCATACATGGCTGGGGGAAACATAAGATACTTGGAAAATTTTGGCAATGTCCACTAATGTTAATGATACTCAGACCTCTCTCCCCCAGGAAAATGATTTCATATAAGTACCAGGAGGTAGGTAGAGAATGTTCAAAATAAAGTTGAATGTAATAGCCCCAAACCAGAAGCTGTATTAGTTGTCTCTCAACTTAGCGACTAAACAGCAGTAGCAGCAGCTGCAAATTACCAAAACTTAACTTATTGATCTAAGATTTTAGTGGCCTAAAACAACAATAAACACTTATCCCATTTATATGGGTTAGAAATTGAGAAGAGGCTTAGGTGGGTTATTCTGGCTCAGAGTCCCTCATGAGGCTGGAATAAAGCTATCGGCGGGGGCTTCAATTATATAAAGGCTCTCTGAGGCTGGAGGATCTACTACTCACTCACATGGCTGATGACAGTTCGTCACCACACAGAATTCTCCATAGGACTGCTTGAGTGTTCTCACAACATAGTTGCTGGCTTCCCTCACATCAAATGATCCTAGAGAGAACAAGATAAAAACCGCAGTGTCTTTTATAAACTAAGCTCAGAAGTCACACTGTTATTTCTGCAATAACCTATTGATTGCACCTGTCAGCCCCATTCATTGTGGGAGGAGACTAGACAATTTTGTGATCACCAGAAGGTAGAGATCATTTGGGGGCATCTAGAAGGCAATGGACATGAGTTTGGGTAGGCTCCAGGAGTTGTTGATGGACAGGGCAGCCTGGTGTGCTGCAGTCCATGGGGTCGCAAAGAGTCGGACACGACTGAGCAACTGGACTGAACTGAACTGAACTGAGAAGGCTGGAAAGCACACCATATGTCCACCAATAGTAGTGGTATAGTTGTACATGGGAAACCTTACAGTAATGAAAATAAATGAGGTATAGCTATTCACAACAACATGCTGCTGCTGCTGCTAAGTCGCTTCAGTCGTGTCCAACCCTTTGAGACCCCAGAGACGGCAGCCCACCAGGCTCCCCTGTCCCTGGGATTCTCCAGGCAAGAACACTGGAGTGGGTTGCCATTTCCTTCTCCAATGTGTGAAAGTGAAAGTGAAGTCGCATCTGACTCTTAGACCCCATGGACTGCAGCCTACCAGGGACCTCTGCCCATGGGATTTTCCAGGCAAGAGTACTGGAGTGGGTTGCCATTGCCTTCTCCCACAACAACATGGATGAATCCTAAAAATATGTTGAATGAAAGAAGCCAGATAAAAAATAATATATACTGTATGATTGCATTCATATGAAGTACAAAAAAGGCAAAATGAAACTATAATATTTAGGGTTCCATACTTAGATAATAAAATTATAAATAGCAAAGAAATGTTTACCATAAAAAGTCAAGATATCTTTAAGGGAGATGAAGTAAGTCTTGGTAGTGGCATAGGTTTCTTCCGGAGTGTTGTGTTAGTCGCTCACTTCTATTCATTAGAAGGGCTGATGCTGAAGCTGAAGCTTCAATATTTTCGCCTCCTGATGTGAAGAGCTGACTCATTAGAGAAGTCCCTGATGCTGGGAAAGATTGAAGGCAGGAGGAGAAGTGGACAACAGAGTATGAAATGTTTGGGTGGCATCACTGACTCAATGGACATGAGTTTGAGCAAGCTCCGGGAAATGGTGAAAGACAGGGAAGTCTGGCGTGCTGCAGTCCATGGGGCCACAGAGAGTGACTGAAAGCCAACAAATGAGTTGCTCAGTCATGTCCAACTCTTTGTGACCCAATGGACTGTGGCCCACCAGTCTCCTCTGTCCATGGGATTCTCCAGGCAAGAATATTGGAGTGGGTTGCCATTTCCTTCTCCATGGACATGTTTGTTAACTTTATTATAATTCACTAAACTGTACATTTATTTCCATATTCTTTTATATGCTTGGTATAGTTTACAGTTTTTAAAGTTTAACAATTTTTTCCTTATTTATGGAGGTTATGCAGAGATTTATTAAAAAAGAAAATCCCTTATTGTAATTGACATAGAGATTATTTATTTTAAATATTTTAATCCCAACTTATTCCATTTGCAGTAGTCTTCAACTGTGCAACAATAAATACAAATACATCCTATCTTAGGAGTAGCTACATTATTACTACCTCAATTTCATTTCTGCAGTGAATGCCTTCACATTTGTGTTATATAGACATGAATTTCCTCTTTCCTTTATGATGAAGATTGCCTACTCATAAGAGTACTATAACACACACACACCACACAAATACCACACACACACACAGATACACACAACAGGAAAAAGAAACCATACCCAATTCTTATGAACATAGTTTCAGGACAATGTTTAGAAACTGAGTCCTATAGAACATTAGAGTTCATGTAATTCCACTTTGGCAAAGAGCATGTGAGTTATTTTTTCCATGTCTAAAAGTGATTATCTTACCCTCTGCAATTTTTATAAACTGTGAGCAATAAGACCATATTTCATGTGGAAGTAGATCTGTTGAAACACTTAACATGGTCATATATAATAAAAATGGAATTATGTCATCTTTGTTGTAACTGCATATATTATTTCTCTATTGGTGGTATAACTGGAAAGGGAATTATTGGGGAATTTTGTAAACAGGGCCCTCTCTATTACTCACCTGTCAAATCTTTCCTTTCTTAGGTAACATCATAAACCAGGATCATCAAGGAATCATTGGCTACTACATTCCCAGCAAGGGAATTTGTTGGGGAAAGGTGATTGTTGAAATCATACATTTATAACATTATCTGTTAATGGAGACCAATGGGAAGCACAGAGATTCAAGCATGTGGAATGGGAACATGATATTTGCAGAGGAGGAGAACTTTTTAAGTTACTTTCCAAAGGACCCTGTAGTTTGATTGATACTTCTGACCCTAACCTCTAATATTCCATACCTGTCAAGAGAATAGAAATAAAGAACTGTCTCCTCTATTTTTCAACCATCTTTTCCTTCTTTCTAACTTCCCCCTTCCATATCTTTTTGTTCCTAAGCATAAACCTGGCAGGAATTAGGAAGTGATTGGGTGGGTAAAAGGTTCATCTGAGGATATAGCAATAGTAACACCATGATTTTTTTTTTCTGTTAAAGGTGTTTCATATTATGGAGGAAGCTAAAACACTATTCAATCTAGTAGACTATTTCATCAGTCAGATAACGTTGGAACAAATCTTCCTGACTTTTGCTAATATTGATAAGGTCAAGAAATAAAGCTGCTATGAGATTCATTTCTGATGCCAAAAGCTCAGCTTTTCTGTACACCAGTGCCAAATTGAATCTTGGAGACAGAGTTTTGGGTGAAGTAGAAAAGAATAGTTTTACTGCTTTGCCAGGTAAAGGGGGCCACAGAAGGCTAATGCCCTCAAATTTCCCAACTTGAAGAAGATAATAAGTTTTATAGTAATTATTCAAGGAGGTTATGATCAGTACACAGACAGTCTTCTGATGGATTAATGTTAAGGTAAGTAGAAGTCAGCATCATCAACCTTTAGCTCCAACTGGTCTGAGGTTATACATGCTTGTGAGCAGCATACTGTCATTAACTGTTAACTTTTCCCACCTGGAGGAGGCAGATATCGTGTGTACCCACTTATGGGGAAACAGGACCCTGCCCCAAGGCTACCCTTGACTGTTTCTCCCTGGTCTCACAAGATCCCCTCCCTTCCCCAATTAGCAACTGCTTGAATCTGCCCACTGGAACTCAGGGAAGGTCATGAAGGCTGAATGAAGGCTGTTTCTTGTAATCAAAGAAATGGGGGACACACAAAATCTTTGTTCTCAGGAGACCCACAGGGCCTTGCGCAGCATCATTTCCAACCAGTGACAACTATGCCTTTCTAGGCTGCTGCCTACAACTAGGTGCATAGAAGCATCTTTCTCCCGCTCTCTGTCTTTCTCGATCTCACTCTCCCTCCCCTCCCCTCTCTCCTCTCCTCTTCTTTTCTCTTTCTCCCCCCTCCTTCTCCTCCTTCTTCTCTCTCTTCTCCTTCTCATTCCCCTCTTCTTCCCTCTCTCTCCGTGTCTCTGTCTGTCTCTCTGTGTGTGTGTCTCTATCACTCTGTGTGTGTGTGTACACAAACTGAAACCCCAAAGAAGAAAGTTTCCAAACTTTGATGATTAGCGTAAGTGACCTGTTGTCAAGAACTGAACTGTGAAGGGTCTGAGATTTTACCCTACCTGTAAATTGTCGAGTTAGCTTACCACAGTTCCATGAATACTGGCAGAAGACACTGGAATCCTAGGTCAACGACACAAGACTTGAGACTTCCCTCGTGGTACAGTGGATAAGAATATATCTGCCAATGCAGGGGACACAGGTTCGACCCCTGGTCTGGGAAGATTCCACATGCCGCAGAACAACTAAGCCTGTGTACTACACTTCTGATCCTGCACTCTGGAGCCCACAAACCACTACTATTGAGCCTACATGCTGCAACGAATGAAGCCTGTGTGCCTAGAGCCTTTACTCCACAAGAGAAGCCACCACAATGAGAAGCCCTCACACTGCAACCAAGAGTAATCCCCACTCACCACAACTAGAGAAAGCCCACACATAGCAACAAAGACCCTATGCAAGTCAAAAAAAAAAAAAAAAAGACACTAGACTTTGTTACTCACAGAAGTAGCAGTAGGCAGAGATCATATTTGTGTCAGTTCCCCAATCCTACCTGTTTATTCAAAGGGTTGTGTTACAGGAGAGGAACCCTGAGCTTCTGGAACTCAAATCTTCATAATGGGCAGTCAGTAAACCTGCCCAACATGTGCTCTGGAGGTAAACATTTTATTATTCTGAACATTAAGTAAACCTTTCCTCTGGTCCAGAGGGAGATGTTGTCTCTTGTCAAAAGCCATTTGCTCTATAATCATCCTTGCAAAATCCTTGCAAAAAAAAAATCCATGCAAAACAAAAAGGCAGTTAATACATTTTCTTGAAAATCACACAGAAACGCAAAAGACCCATGAAAAATTGTCTCCCAATATCTACCATCTTGACTTCTAGCATATTTCCCGTTGAGTATACTACCCCATCAGCTACTCTGGTTAATCTGAGATTTGGACCAAATTTATTTGGTTCATATTTATTTAATTCACCTCATACAATTGTTAAGACTACTATCAGTAGAACTTTAAGCAACATGATGAGGCTAACCTACAGTATTTGACCTTATCCATGCCTCCCGGGTCTCAGACCCAACTAGCTGAACAAATCCTATAAACCAATTTAGTTAACCTTAGAAAATCAAGTGGCTTTCCCACATTTCAGTATTCACCATTTCACTTGTACTGAGGCCCTGATTCATGAATAGCCCAATGTAATAGTAATTGCACTGACTCCATGCTGGCCTGCAAAAGGAAAATCTCAGGAAGTTCTACCACTTTTAACCACCTTGGTTATGAGATTCTGATTTAACCACCTTCCTAAATGCCTGCTCTCTTATGACCATCTCAAAGGAGGGAGGCAATGTTTTTTGAAGGGAAGCAAGTTGATGGCTCAATTTCATACAGTAATACAGTTATGTGGGTACAACTGGTACCCCTGGAAAGTTTTTCAATTGTTCATGCCCGCAGTGGGACCCATCTCAGTCAGACATCACACAGGTTCACAGTGCCTCAAACATATCCTTCTGGCCAGTTTATAAACATTAAGATTCTCAGTTTTGTATAAATAATTGAATCTAGCCTTTGCCTTTTGAGAGACTATTTGAGGACTATGAATGCAACCCATTCACTTGTCTATACCAACAGAAGGCATTTAGCTGTCCCCATGGAAAGATAGAACAATGGCTACAAAAGAAGGGATGGGTAAGACATGGGTGTTGACAAGTGTATTACATGGGAAGTGGAGCCATCCACTGGTATTTCCAGTATGCTTATCATTAATGTTAAGGAGTTACTGTTGTTCAGTTGTTCAGTCATGTCTGACTCTTTGCAACCCCATGGACTGCAGCACGCCAGGCTTCCCTGTCCTTCACTATCTCCTGGAGTTCACTCATGTCCATTGAGTAAATTATGCCATCCAACCAGCTCATCCTCTGTTATCTTCTTCTCATGCCCTCAATCTTTCCCAGCATCAAGGTCTTTTCCAGTGAGTCAGCTCTTTGCATCAGGTGACCAAAGAATTGGAGCTTCACATTCAGCATCAGCCCTTCCAATGAATATTCAGTGTTGATTACCTGAATATTGACTGGTTTAATCTCCTTGCTGCCCTAGGGACTCTAAAGAGTCTTCTCTAGCACCACAATTCAAAAGCATCAGTTTTTCAGTGCTCTAGCCTTCTTTATGGTCCAACTCTCACATCCATACATGACTACAGAAAAAACCATAGCTTTAACTATATGGACCTTTGTTGGTAAAGTGATGTCTCTGCTTTTTACTATTCTGTTCAAGTTTATCATAGCTTTCTTCCAAGGAGCAAGTGTCTTTTAATCTCATGGCTGCAGTCAACAGCTGCAGTTATTTTGGAGCCCAAGAAAATAAAGTCTGTCACGGTTTCCATTGTTTCCCCATATATTTGCCATGAAGTGGTGGGACTGGATGCCATGATCTTGATTTCTTGAATGCTGAGTTTTAAGCCAGCTTTTCACTCTCCTCTTTCACCCTCATCAAGAGGCTCTTTAGTTCCTCTTTACTTTGTGCCAAAAGGGTGGTGTTAGCTACATATCTAGGGTTATTGATATTTCTCCCAGCAATCTTGATTCCAGCTTGTGCTTCCTGGAAAAAATCCACCTGGCATTTCATATTATGTGCTCCGCATATAAGTTAAATAGGCAGGGTGACAATATACAGCCTTGACATACTCCTTTCCCAATTTGGAACCAGTCTGTTGTTCCATGTCTGGTTCTAACTGTTGCTTCTTGACCTGCATACAGGTTTTGCAGGAGGCAGGTAAGGAGGCTTGGTAGGCCCATCTCTTTAAGAATTTTCCAGAGTTTGTTGTGATCCACACACTCAAAGGCTTTAGTGTAGTCTGTGAAGCAGAAGTAGATTTTTTTTCTGGAATTCTCTTGCTTTCTCTATGATCCAACAACTGTTGGCGATTTCATCTCTGGCTCCTCTGCCTTTCTAAATCCAGCTTACACATCTGGAAGTTCTCAATTCACAGGCTGGTGAAGGCTAGCTTAAAGGATTTTGAGCATTACTTTGCTAGCATGTGAAATAAGCACATTTGTGCAGTAGTTTGAACTTTCTTTGGCATTGCCCTTCTTTAGGATTTGAATGAAAACTGATCTTTTCCAGTCCTGTAGTCACTGCTGAGTTTTCCAAATTTGCTAGCGTATTGAGTGCGACACTTTAATAGCATCATCTTTTAGGGCTCGAAATAACTCAGCTGGAGTTCCATCACCTCCACTAGCTTTGTTCATGGTAGTGCTTCCTAAGGCCCACCTGACTTCACACTCCAGGATGTCTGGCTCTTGGTTAGTGACCACACCATCATGGTTATCTGGGTCACTAAGACTTCTTTGTACAGTTCTTCTGTGTATTCCTATGGTTTTTCCGGTAGTCTTGTATGGATGAGAGAGTATGACTATAAAGAAAGCTGAGAGCCGAAAAATTGATGCTTCTGAACTCTGCTGTTGGAGAAGACTCTTGAGAGTCCCTTGGACTGCAAGGAGATCAAACCAGTCCATTCTAAAGGAGATCAGTCCTGAATATTCATTGGAAGGACTGATGCTGAAGCTGAAGCTCCAACACTTTGACCACCTGATGTGAAGAACTGACTCATTGGAAAAGAGTCTCTTTCTCATGCTTGGAAAGATTGAAGGCAGGAGGAGAAGGGGATGACAGAGGATGTGATGGTTGGGTGGCATCATCAACCCAAAGGACGTGAGTCTGAGCAAGTTCCAGGGGTTGGTGATAGACAGGGAAGCCTGGCATGCTGCAGTCCATGGGGTCGCAAAGAGTCAGACACGACTAAACTGAACTCTGTGTATTCCTACCACTATTCTTGCCTTGTTAAGGAGAACGGTGATTAAACTGTGATCAGAACCATCTGATAAAAGATGGAGGACTTTTAAAAGATGATGGTCAAGTTTAGTATGCATGGCACAGTTTGGGAGAATTGCATCATAGCATTTTCCTTCACAAGGCATACTCCACCAGTGGTTCTGAATGACAAAAGATCATTAATGTCCTCCTCTCCCTCAGTCTCTTCAGGGTCTAAGATGTTCCTTTCCCAAGGTTCCTGGCTGTTGGTCTCCCTCCACTACCAC